TTTGTTGAAATGTATGTAACAGGCAGAAGGAGGCGTGGCAGACCCCACAAAATATATGTATATATTCTTGATCAGGGTGACGAGCTGAGTCGCTTTGGCCCTGTCCGTCTGTCTGTCTGTCCGTCTGTCCGTATGTTTGAACGCGTCGATTTCAGAAGATATAAGAGCTAGAGACATCAAATTTTTTTTTTTAATGTAGAAAAAAAGTGGAAGTGGAAAAAAGCTAACTCGTCTGTTGTGGATTATAACTAATTTTGCCAAGTTGTGCCAAAAAAAATTATATGTCATTATAGTGCCAAGTGTATATAAACTAATGTAAAAAAAATGTTTTGCTCCATTCTGCTCCGATTTGTATATATCCCTAATATTGTTGCTGTGATTGAATTCGCCAATGAGCAACTGCTTGAGATCTACATACAAAACACTTGCCGCGCAAGTGCCGTTTCGGGTTGGATTTATGATAAACTGAAAGAATTCGACCTAAGCCCGAAGAAAAAGGATGAAATCAGCACCAATGTGAAAAGCTTTCACCATTACATACAAAAAAACTTGGCAAAATGTAATATAGGTATGTCCAGATTTAAGACAAAACAAAAAGGCTATTGTCCAATATGGCTATAACAATAAGTTCATTTTTATCTTCAAATCCTAAACCTTCAACATCAAAACCAGTTGGACGCCTACCCATTGAATATGTTAATGCCGCCAGCAGAGAGCTCTGGTACCCGATTTAGCTGTAAATGCATTATTATTATTATTTTTTTTTTTATTATAGCTTATTAATATTAAGGATAAGAGTTAAACAAATGAATTCATTTGTTGAATTTAATGAGTGATAGCAATATTAATTACCGTAAAGTATCAATAAGAGGAAACCAATATCATAAGGGCGGCTAGGGAAGGCGTGGTCAGATCGATCTGAAACTTAGATATATTTATGTGTGCATCGACACTATCATATGTACCAAATTTCAAAAAAACCTTGCTTTAATGGCAATGCATTATCTACATAAATAAATATAGGCACTTAGTAGTAGTAATAGCAGTAGTATACTAGCTAGTACATTTTTGCAATCAGCGATGCCTTTTGCCAACGTTGAGTTACGGAATAGATGGTCTTTCAGCAATATTTGAGCAAAGTTTTAGAAAAGTAGAGTTTCTTTGAGGATTTGCCGACAAATCAAAATCAAAATCGAAATCGATACTATTCAAATCTCAATTACGGTAATCAGCCTGGATAGGTAAATTGCATTTTAAGCAAGACGCTTATCCTGCTGGTAAATATCTAGCAACAGCTTGTTCTGTTGTGCTTTTGACTCTATAGAAAACATAAATTTAATTTCATAATTGAATTGGATTTCATTTCGTTTCGAGCTTTGATGTCAGCTAGGTTTACGTTGGAGTTGGGATTGGAGTGGGTTTATTTGTGTTGGTGCTTGGACAATTTAAAACTTATTTTAGCCAGCCACGCTGTAAATATTTATAAATCTCATCTCGTCTCTGTGCGAATTGTTTTTTTTTTTTTTTTTTTTTTTTTTTTTTTTTTTTGGGTACTCGCTGCCCCATTCGCAAAATGTCATTAAATTTGTAATTTTTGAAATGGAAGCCAAAGACTGCAATTGCAATTCTTGTTGTTTTTTTTCACTCTCTCTCTCTCTCTCTCTCTCTCTCTCTCTTTGTTTTACTTCCAATTTATTTATTTAGTTCTATTTGTGTTGTTCTTTTTCATTTGCTGAGAGTGTGTGTATCTGCGGCTTTTTGCATGTGTTGTGGCAGGCACTGAGCGGAGCTGAGTGTCTGATTGAGGTGGCGCCAACATTTAATTGCCCAGCCAGAATAGAGGCAACTCCGGCGGCAGCTCGTACAGCAACCTGTTCGGCTGTTCTTTGGGCCTTACTTCGGCAGACAGCCACTAAGCTAGCCACAGGACACGGATACATACGCAAGCACACACATAGTAGTTGGCCAAAAAGAAGCTGGCCAGCTAGTTCTGTCTAAGCCGCAAAAAGCGTACCACACTCACTCGTCGCTTGGCCCAACTAATCCGACTCGAAAATTTATTTGCTTAATTTCATTTTGTAGGCAAGCCCCACGAGAGGAACAGCCCGAGATCGAGAGCGAAAGCGAGAGTGAGATAGAGAGAGAGATGCGTCTTGTGGGCGTGCGATAATCCTCGCAATAAGCTCTCCACATTTGCCACATCCTTTGGCAGCTGCTGCAACGCCCTGGACTGGACGTACTGGACTGGATTGGCAAATCATAAATCGCTTTAAATGCGCTTTAATTATAATTCGCTACAGCTCTCAACTTAGCCACTCTCTCACTCCTCATCGAGCACTATGCGCGCATTAATTTTGATGAAAGAAACCCTCCAGTCCCCAAAAAGACTTTACAACACAAGTCGGGCGAAATTCCTGCCTTCGTTTCAATTAATTTCCGCGACATTGATGCGTCCTGTCGTCGTTCTTGTTGTCGTCTTGTCGTCTTTAGCTTGTGAAGAAAACCAACACAGACAGACACACACACGCACACGGTCTCTGCTCACCATCCCGCCGTCTCTCTCTTTCTCTCGCTTTCTCTATGCATAAGCATGTGCTCGCCTCTTTCCACCAAAAGAAAAAACATTTTTGCATGCGCTTTTTAATTAATTTAAAGTTATTTTGCTTGACATCCTCGTCAAGCCGAGCTCCCGCCTCCTTCAACTCTCCTCCGTTCGTCTCACTAGCGGTTCAGCAGCGCCTGAATGTCCTGCGGCTGCTGCAGCGCTTTATTAAATCTGCCTGCATGGTGTTTAAATTGAAATCCGTCGCTGTCGTTGCTCAAACAATTTTATAAATAAATAAATAAATCACATTGTATCGCATAGCAGTGCAGTCAGTAGCAACTACTTTTTTATCTACTTTTTCGAATTCAATTGTGCATTTTAGTGTGCTAAAACAAAGAAACAAACATACATATACATAAACACATATGCACAGAAAAAGTGCTTCACATTTGCCTTGGCTCGGAATCACACACATACACTTATATGTATATATACATACATATGTATGTATACAGATGAAATAGCTGGCTGAGTGAATGACTGACTGAGTGACTGAAATATTGACTGACGGACTAACTGACTGATTGATTGACTGATAAACTGGCTGACTGACTGACTGGCTTTTAGAAAAGCCTATTATTAAGAATGTAAGCTAAATCAGTCGCTATTCGGAATGACGATCAGTAAAGCATAGATCACCGTAGCTCACACAGATTGTTATGTTTGCTGGCTAATCACAAACCATATGCCGAAAACTTGTTGACCTTTTAATAAACGTTAGCTATTCAAAGTCTAATCTCTACATAATTGTTGACCGATTTCACCGGCGTAAGTGATATGTTTGAATTGATTGGAATTACTGAGAAGCCTATCTTTTGCTGCTTGGGGGCTAGTTCAAATTTTCATCATAGGTAAATATCGTCACTTTTATTTTATTTACTTATTTGTATTTTATGTCTTTTGCAATTCATAAAAGTTAGTATTGTCCAATTGAGTATATTTACATCTCTGGATTGCACTGATAATCGGGAGTTTTTATTATCAGTTGATTCAAGAACTCATAACAGATCAGGCTTCATATCCGTGTATATACATACATATATGTATGTATACCCATTTAGTATTAATGTATCCATATAATAACAAGTAAGAAAGCTCTAGTCGGGACTGCTCGACTACGAGATCCCCTGAACCCTTGGATTTCAATAATTTGTTATTTCAATAATTTTTCGCGTCATTCTGCTTACACAAGAAAAGCACACACAGGCATGCAAGCATAAACACGCATGGACTGCAGTGTAGGCTTACTATGGGAAGTCAATTGTTTAATAACTTTTCTTGTCGATGGACTATCTCTATGAAACTTGTAGATCATTATGATAACATATCATATCAAATGCATGCTTGTGCCAAAGCACAAGTCTCTAGTATTTGAAATACGCCTTTTACAAATATGTGGGCGAGTGGGTGGAAGGGGTGGGGGTTAAATTACAACAAATATCGACATTATATAAAATACATCTAAGTCTAAATTTAAAGTTTGGAGACTGTGGCTCTAAAAATATAGGAGATATACATAATTAAATAACTAGTTTTCGATAAAGTTTTTAATCGATAACAAAATATTGGAGGTAGTTATCGTTTGTTGGAGAAAAACTTGCAAATGCGCGTGATATACACGAGCCTAGGAAAACAAATTTCAAGTCTCTAGCTCTTATATCTTCTGAGATCGACGCGTTCATACATACGGACGGACAGACAGACGGATAGGGCTAAAAGACTCAGCTCGTCGGCCCATACATACTTTTAACAAAACCATTATACCCTGATTTCCCATTTTCAAATGGGTTCAGAGTATAAAAAGTCCATTCCTCAATCCCAAGTATCACAATAATTATGAAATCGACTTGCTTAAAGCCCATTTCGGCTTTAATTTCCAAGCTGAGTGTCTTTTTGTTGTTTGCCAAAAGAAAATTTGGACATGGAGTTCATGAGTTTTGCATTGGGTCCTGAAACGGCTTCTGTTGCCTGTTTGCAAAGTTTACAATTTGTCTTGTTTTTTTTTTTCTTTTTTCTTTGCTGTCGTTGTTGTTGTTGTTGTGCTGTGCACTTTTGCCGGCTGCTTTGTGTATTTGTGTTTGTTAGTCTGTTTGTTAAATGTCAACATGCAAGGCATATGAGCAGCTGACTGAAGTGCAATGTGCAGCCAAATGTGAGAGCCTAGTCCTAGACCCGTTGGCTTCGGCTTCGGCTTCGGCTTTGGCTTTGGCTTTGGTTTAGGCTTAGGCCTGTGCCTGTGCCTTTGCTTTTGCCCAGTCCTTGATTTGCCTTCATTAGCCTTTGGCAGTATGTCAGAGTCACTGAACATGTGTATGTGTGTGTGCGAGTATGTGTTGTGTGCCAAACAAAGAGCCTTTTATATATGCGCACTTATGTAGCGCAAAGAACAAGCAGCAGCAGCAGGCCATGTGGCATTGACTTTAGTCTATTCCCGTACCCCCCACACTGCACTCCACTTAACTGTGCCCCACTGCCTTGCACTCCACTCGAATCTGTAATATTGATTGTGCCAAATGCGAGCCCAGACAGCGACTTGTTTTAATAACTGTCACTTGCCGCATACAACTCTATATAGCCAGATAGACATGCCTGGGACTAACATATTAAAGCTCCAGCTGCAGCAGCAGCAGCAGGCAAATTCAATTTGGATGCAACAGCGACTGCAGCGGTGCAGCTGCAGATGGCAGTAATCAGGCATCTAGCATCAGGCATCAGGCATCAGGCATCAGGCAACAGGCAACAAGCAACAGGACTCAAGCAACTGGATTCGGGCCTTCAAAATAGCTTCTTGTTGCTGCCAGTTGGCATGTGTCAGTCATATGGCGCGACGGGCGGTGTTGCGGGTGGGCTATACGGTTAGACGTTTTAAGAAGCCAAACAAAATGCCGTCGACGGCACACGTTTAAACATAATAATTCTCAATTTCGTCAGCGATATCAATGGCAGCAGGAGCACCACAGCCAGCAGCAGTGGCAGAAACAGGAGCTAGTGCTGTCTGCTCACGCCACAGGAAAACCATGCAGAGACATCAAAATAAACTGACATTTTTTGCTGCTTCCTCCAACTTTACATTTCTTTTTCTATTTTAGCTTTTTCATTCTTTTTTTTTTTTGTGCAAAATTGAGCACACGAAAGGCAAAATAAGCCAAAAGCTAGAAGAAGAAAAAGAACGAGAAAATAGAAAACAGAAAATAAGGCTCAAACGACATGCGGAAATCATGTCACATGAGCAGCAGCATCAGGGCCACAGAATAGTGAACGAAAAAGCAGCCAACAAAGACTCGACGCTCAGATACCCTACAAAAAGAATAAGTTAAATAACAGTAAATAAGCTTCATATAACCCAACATTAAGAAGATCTTCAAAGGAAATAAACTTCATATACAAATGAATTAATATAATATGGAAATTAAATGGCTGCTCTCTTTTATAATCTTATAATAATATACCCCTCTCAATGGATTTAAGAATTGCAACAAAAAAACACGCAACGTCTGGCAAAGGATAACGGGAGAGCGCGAATAAATTGCAACACACACACACATGCCGCTGTGCGAACAACAACAAGAATAGAAAACAAGTAAAAAGACTGCTCGACTAGGAAATACCCTGAACCCTCTAAGCTGATATTCTATTCATTCTGCACTTCTTTTATGCACACATACATACACACGCACGTATAATCACGCGCTCTGCTAACTGGGCAGTAACCAGCGACAGCGCTTGGGCTGCGCTGCAGTGTGAGCATTATTATTAGAATTTATTGGTTGAATAATTTCTCTTGTAGTGAGACTATCTTTATGAAACTTTCAGAGCGTGATTATAAAAGTAAAATGTGTGTACATTCAAAAGCACAAGTCTCTAGTATATGAAATGCGTTTATTACAAATTGGGGGTGGAGGGGCGTGGTATCCAAAATCAAAAAAAGGCAAATTAAAAGTCTCCAGGTCTAAAATTGTTCAAATTAGGCTGAAAAAACAAAGTCGATTTTCGATTATTCTCGATAAAAAAGTTATCGGATGAGCTATCGAGAAAATATGATAAACTGTACTGCTTATGGTATACCCGAGTATGCATGCTAAATTTCAGCTCTCTAGCTCTTATATCTTCTGAGATCGGTTTGCTCATACGGACGGACGGACGGACAGACAGACGGACAGAGCTATGTATATCGACTCAGCTCGTCGCGCTGATCAAGAATATATATACTTTATGAGGTCTGCGATGATTCATTCTGCCTGTTACCTACTTTTCACAAAACCATTATACCCTGATTTCCCATTTTCAATGGGTTCAAGGTATAAAAAAATGGCAAGGGGAGGAGGATTGGGGGTCTACAACGCGAAATATGCAACTGCAAGTCGAACAATCTCATGTTAAAAGGAAACGAAAAGGGTGCAACGGCAATGACGCGACGACATTAGAGCCTGCACAGTGGCACCAAAGATTGAAAACAACACTTGAGAATGATATCATAAAACTTAAACTTGAAGTACTTATTTTTCTTTATTCTATCCCGACAACGATCAAATCTAATAGTCATACGAGAAAAAAACAATTATCATTTTTATTTTATATTACTCCATGTTTGTAATATTTTGTCTTGCTCATACCTATTAATATAATGATGTACTATTACCATAATATTAGGACTTGTGCAAATACAATATTTCTAATTATTATGAATAAGATTGATTAAGCTTATGAATAAAAGTTTTATTCCTATCTTGCGCTCAATCAAAGTGATACGGCTTTACATAACAATAAAATATGCTAGCTATAAACAATTTAATAACTTAACCAAATATATACCTTATGTGTCTCAACTTAACTTTAGATAGCATAAATGAAGAGTCCCTGCTGGAAATCTGTAGGAGCATCTAGTCAGAATATATCTTTTGTGACATGCGATTGGCTCGTTAAAGATTCAGTCCCATTTAATGATGCTGCGACCACTGTGCCCCGCTGGCAGCTGGTATTGCCATTATTTTAGTGCAACGGCTGTAATGTTTCAGAGGATCCCAACGTACACAACGGCAACGCGGTGATAAGAGCCAAAAGCGTTGCCATATCAATTTCCAATCGCCTGTATTAGTGCGGAATGTCAAGTGGCACGTGTTGGCGGAACGAGGTGGAGTGGAACAGAGTGCGGTAGCTGATGCGACTAGACAATGTACAAATCAACATGTCGAAACAATGAAATTCGACCTTTCAATCGTTTCATTTCTTTTTTTGAATAATTGATATGGGAGGGAGAGGGGGATATATATATAGAGAGAAAGAGAGAGAAACAGAAGCAATATATGTATGCATGCATGTATGAACATGCATGAATTGCTTGGCATTGGCGCAACTATTGTCAACTCATTTGGTTTCGGTTTGGCCCAGTTTCAAATTTGATTTATTTCCAAAATTTTATTGCCATTGCGGGCGCTCAGGCTCGACGATCGCCAGGTGGGTCAGGACCRACACCAACAGCAACAACAACAAATCACAACAACAAAAACAATTCCCTTTCAACTATTTCGCCAACTCAATAACAACCCATCTCGCTTTTTCCTCTGTGTTCCGGTAACTGTCACTGCATTATTGGAAATTTCTCGCAGCCCGAGCTGAATTTTCGGCAAATATTTGCATCTCTTTCGCTATTGCATTTGCCAATGTTGCTATGGTCATTTCATGCCGTTCTCAAAACTAAGCACCATATGCGAGCGAGAATTCTCCAAATACCACAAACCATCATATGTTTTAAGCCCAAGTTTATTTATTGTCACCTGAGCACACACACATACAATATATGTATACATCTATTGTAAAGGATATTGCTATCCATATAAAATATAGCTTAAAGTTAGTCAACCATCGATTTAAATTAATTGTGCGATACGAACGATATGCAACTCTATTCAATATTTGTGCAGCGAGCTATATATATATAAATAAATGTATTGTAAATCTTATGCAGTGTATGATCAGCAGATGTACTCTCAATTCCCACAAAGGCAAATACACTCTTCTCATCACAGACACGTTTCATGTCTGTTAGCAAGTGCAATTTGTTTATTAAAAAGCATTCGTACAGCGCGCAGAACTCGATGTGCAAATCGCTTTATCGGATATCACTCATACGAACCGTTGAACGACGGCCGCCACCCACTTGCACCCGCCCACTTGTGCATGCTTTTTTTGTGATCGAATTTCCACAAGACTTGAATTAATTAATGTCTGCTGATACACTTGATGCATGCAGTTAATCCATATCCGTGTCCGTATCCGTATCTATATCCGTTTCCAATTAATGCATTGGATAAAAACATGCGAGACGCGAATGTGGCACAAAGCAAAACATTTTGCGCTCATTAGTTGATCTGAATGGGAGGTGACTGATTGCGAGACTCATTGATTGATGAAAATCAATATGTCTGGAATGGGACATTGCATAAGATTTAAATGCTATTGAGAATCAATTATAAGTATATAAATTTTATATATTGAAGAAATGCAATGAGCTTCCAATGAGAACTTCCAATTTGACATCGATTTCCATAAATGTCTGATTGCCTATATAAGCTCATCTGTCGGTATGATAATGATTAGATAATAATTACCGACTCTTCCCCTTAAACTCTTTAAATTTCCTGCTCAAAGTCAAGTTTGGGTAGGCTCAATTAACAGGTAGATCAGCTCCAAACTCCAGCTGCATTTTTAGGATTCGCTAATTTTCATCTACAGCTTCTAGCGCTAATTAGGCTTAGAAAAAAGAATAAACGATAGAAAAACTGCTGCCTGCGGAAAAGGTCAAAGCATAAATCAAGACGTGCTCCAGTTCCAAGGACCACGAGCAGGGGCCCAGCGCAAGGGCGGGGCGGTGCAATTGCATGAAACGCCCGGGCGCGTTTCGGAGTGTGGCACAATAAATTAGTTGTTGGTGCTCCTCTTGTTATTTATTTTTATTTTACTTTGCGTTTTGGCACTTTTTTATTTTGAGGGTGCTGTGCGGCTGAAAACTAGATCTAAACGTGTATTAGTCAACGCTGACGCTGTTTGTGACTGGCCCTGGCCTGGGACCAGGCCGAGAGCTGCCATGTGACACAATTTTGCAGCCTCGGTTGGCTTTGGTTTGGGTTTCGGTTTTGGTCAGGTCAGAAGGGATGGCAGCACAGATGCACAATGTATTTCAAGTGGAGTGAGCGCAAATAAAATTAAAAACAAGACGCGCAAAACAAAAATATGGCAACGCTGCGGCGCCGACCTCGTTTTGGTCTGGCCACAATGGATAAACGAGTCGAGGAGCGGCGAAAGTTCCAAATGGCGCGACTTGTTTTTCCACTTTTGGACCCTGTCCGTCTCACTTTCTGTCTCTCTGTCCCTCTGACTATCCGTCTGCCTGTCTGCCGCTGCCAACACTTGGCGACCTCTGCTGCTGGCGTTGCCATTTTGTCATTGTTTGCATTTGGCGCGCGCTTTTGTTTTATGCCCATCTACAAAAACAACAACAGTGGGCAATCTGTATCAAGTAGAAAATGTTGCAGTCAAGAGGGCGAAAACAGCGAAGACCTAGACGGACATAGATTGAGAGAAAGATAGGGAGGGTTGGAGTAAGCGAACGGCAGACAGGTAAAGATTCCCTTAAATTTACTATTCACAGGCAAGAAATCTGTTTAGAAATACAAGATAAGTGTATTGTAAAATTTGGAGACTCTAGCTCTAAAGATGTGCGAGATATAATTGCATTATTGATTTTTATAAGTGTTTTAAACGATAACCCCATAACATTAGTGAATATCGATTTTTGAAAACATACATTCAGCTCTGCAATTCACAAACCCAATTCGGGCATTATTGAGCTACTGCAACAACAGCAGCGACAAGCCCAGCAAGCAAACGTCATGACCAGCCTTATGGCTCTCATCGCAAAACTCAGCTCCAAATAATGGCGCTACGCATGGGCATATGGAAGGCTAATGGCCTGAGCAAAAAAATCTCATGAATTAGACGCCTTCCTATCCCAAAAGAACAGTGATATTATTCCAATTGCAGAAACACATGACTGCCCCACGCTACAAATGTTAGGATTTGAAAAATATCTTACTCATGGTGGTGGAACAGACAATTTTGGAGGACCTTCGCTGCTTATCCATTCAACTCTAGCACATACACTATCGATTCAATTCTCCAACGCCACACTTCAGTTGTCTGCCATTAGCCTTCCTACATCAATTGGCGAAACTGAAACCGCATCGGTATATTGCCCACCAAATGCAGATCTTCGCATGCAAGACATCGCTTGTCCGCCAAAAAAAGAAGAAAACTCTAATTGGAGGCGACTGGAATGGTTGGCACCCATTTTGGGTAATATTCGACGCAATTCAAAATGCATAATACTCTATCTTAGCTACGGGAGGCCCCACACGCTAGCCAATAAACGGACATTATCCCTCTGCAATTGACTTTCTGATCTACGAAGGAATCAGTGACAGACTCTTGAGCATTGAAGAATGCCTCGACTTATCTTCGGACTATCTTCCGCTGATAGTCAGTGGTCACGCTCAGTCACAACCTTTTCAGACTACGCATTCTGCTCGCAAGATCGAATATAGCAATCTTCAAGCTCACTCTACACTCCTCACTGCATCCGGAAATAGAGTACGCAGCAAATAGAATGCAAGATGCCATGGCAGAGGCCGCACTGCTAGCCGCAACCGGCTGCTCATAGTCGAAATCGCTCGCACTACAGCATTCCTCTCACCCCGCATGTTTAAAATCTGCTCGAATACAAACGATAAGCAAGGAGCCAATGGATCAGAACACGAACAGCCAGCGACAAAAGCAGATACAACGAAGCCACCAGACAGCTCAAAGTTGCCCTGGCCCAGATGCAATGCACGCGCATTAGAGAGGCCTTACGTCTTCTCCCCATCCTGAGCGCTACGAATGAGAGGCTTACCGGAGACGAAGCGCAGGCCAAAGCCTTTGCTAATCACCTCCACGAGCAATTCTCCCCGCTGCAAGCAACCGATCCAGCCGACTTAGGCTGATGTCAGAGTGTCCGCGATAAGCGATGCGATGCTATAAGCGATAATTATCGCAGCGATCTGCAAAGCGACGACATGACATAGTGAAAGCTATCCTCAAAGAGAGAAACATTGCGAGTATTCAAATTGTAGTTATTGCAAGTGTTCAAATTTTAGTCTCAGTTTCAATGTTTTCATGAAAAAAAAAACAACGGGATCCATCCAATGCTATCAAAACTTTTGATTATTGACAGTTCACGTACAATTGAGAGCAAATACATATATAAAAATATAAATAGTTTTGAATCAACCTGTTATTCAAACTTGAATTTCGAAATAGAACAATCTTCACCGACTATCCAACGGTTCTTTAAGCTCAGAACGCAACAAAAACACACGTATCAGAAAACCTTTATCATGCGACAAGGCGGGTAAGCGATTCAGGAATGCTTTCTCGCAACTCGCTTTACTTGTCGCTTTGGCTCTCTTCTAGCTTCGCTTGCACTCTGACATGTTTTAAGCGATTTCATGTAAATCTGCATGTAGAGCTTTCTCGCATATAGTCGCTCAATATTACCGCATCGCTTATCGCGGTCACTCTGACATCAGCCTTAAAAAGCATCAGAAGAATCGTGAGCTCTCCTATCCCAGAAGGTATTCCCATAGAAGCATGCACAAAGGCAGAGGTTCTCAGCCTGATAAAAGCAGTAAAAGACAAAAAAGCGCCGGAATAGATGGCAAAGCTCTCAGGGCACTGTCATCTATAGACTAATTCGTAGTACTAAACAGCGCCATCCTTTGCATTCAACACTTTTAGTCCTACTGGAAACGTGCTGAGATAATCATGATCCCGAAATCTGGAAAACCGGAAAGGAAATTGCTTCCAAAATATTCGAAAGAATATTGTTGCGAAGAGTTCTCTATGAGCTGAGTTAAAGCAACAAAATACGAGAACATAAATTCGGCTTGAGGAGACAGCAGGGTACGCCAGAGCAAGTACATCGAGTTGACAACCACATTCTCCTCGTGTTTGAAAATAAGGAATACTGTTCTTCAATCATTCTTGATGTTAAGCAGACATTCTATCGGGTTTAGCATCTGGGTCTGCTTAACAAGAGATAGAGCCCTACCTGACTCCCTCTTTAAGATGATGGCCTCCTACCTGTCAGGAAGAAGCTTCCACGTCCTAGAAGGACAGACAACATCGTCGAGTCGACCAGTCAAAGCCCCAAGGTAGCGTGTTTGAACGCTGACATGACCTCCCTTATAGAGACGTACGTAGACGAAACCGCCATACTGAGTCACAAATAGTCGCCCAAGTAGCCTCTGGTCCGATGCAAATATACGGCACTACTTCAATCGGTGCACCGCGGTGGCTAATTCTCTGGCATTCGGTATTAACGTGCAAAAATCTACTCTTATCATTTTTGCAACTAGGAAGGGAGACTGCCACGAAGTGACTCTCGGAGCTCCTCTACCAAGACAAGTATCTGGGAGTCGTACTAGATAAGAGACTGACCTATGGCCTGCAGATATGTGAGACAGTCAAAAAGTGCAAGCTCAAATTTCACAAAGTCCTTAGTACAAGGTATGCGGACAGAATATTCGCCCACCCAAACCAGCTTGCCGCCAATCACCAAGTCACTCAACAGAAGTCTGAGAAAATCGACTCAGCTCGTCGCCCTGATCAAGAATATATATACTTTGTGGGATGTGCCACGCCTCCTGCTGCCTGTTACATGCATTTCAACAAAACCAATATACCCTGATTTCCCATTTTGAATGGATCGACGCGTTCAGACAAAGGGAAATAGTGGCAGACGAATTGACAGAGCTAATTCGACTCTGCTTTCTCACTCTCTCTCTCTCTCTCTCTCTCTCTNATCCAGGATACCCAAAGGAACTATCGTCCATCCATAATACTTTTCCCCAGAAGAATTGCGGCTTGCCTATGAAGGTTTTAGCAAATCGATACCTTTTTAGTTTATTTTATAGTGATATTAAGAGTATTGGAACATCTATAACGTAGAAAAATTTGCCTTCTTTCGCCGACTTGTGATAGTATTTCTGCTTATTGATAATTTATGATTATTTTTGGGCTTAATCGACATGACTTTTAGGAAAATTCGCACATTTTCTTTAAGATTTGTCAATATGATGCGGCCTTCTACAGGTTTTTTTGAATGAATTTTCCGATCTGGCCTTCTTGTTTGAGTGAATCAGTTTTTTATTTTTTGTTAATTTAGTTGTAAATTGCCCATAGAGGTGCATTTTATAAGGCTATAAGGTTTTCCACGGAAATACCTGCACAATTCTTCGTTCGCGACTAATTTTTTAATGATTTCGCTTAATCACGTTGTTTGCCCATAAGTTACCGAAAACTATGATCAAATAATGGCTATTATTAAAGAGGACACCAAAAATAACTTAAAAAGAAAAGTATGTATTTTTGAATCCAAGCAAATTACCGAAAATGAATTTGAAAGGGAATGTCAAAATACTTTTATCCACCCAAATAATGACAATCTGCCATGCAAATAATTATATAAAAATAATGAGTTATGTTATCACTGCAATATTTTGGTCATTTATAGCTTTTTATGTTTGCTCTCTCTGAAAAACATATTGGGTACCGTTACCTCTCTCAGCACGCAGAAATAAGCGGTTAGAGTTTTTGCAATGCGTTGTCAAATTACTTTTGTCCTCCATTGTATCTTCTGTGATCGAAGCGTTCAAACATACGGACAGACGGACGGAATTACAGACGGACAGAGCTAAATCGACTAAGCTCGTTGCCCTGATCAAGAAGATATATACTTTATGGGGTCTGCCACGCCTCCTTCTGCCTGTTACATTTGGCAACACTGCTTCCGTTGAGCAATCCTTTTGTACTCTGAAGAATCCTGTTCGACATATCCCAACTGTATTTGAATATCGATTACACCATCACATATAGTATCGTTAATCGACGCTAGAGCCTCGATCACATTTCCATATGATTTAAATCGGTGCCACTCAAAATTAAATATGCTGTCCACTAGTATATTATCATTTGTACTTGATTAAATATATATATTTTTATTTAAGACTTACGTCAAATAAGATATATGTGAATTATGTATGTGATAAATTGTCTCTGTTGTTTCTTAAATAAATAACTGATTTCCCCTAAGTGCATTGGACTCTGAATATACATATACATATATTTGAAAAGATACAATATA